CCCCCCTTTCTCTGAAAAAAAAAAAAGAAAAGAAAGGTGGCCCTTCGCGCCTGACCCGACTTGGCGAGACACTGGCCCTTCTGCTCCGGCTGTCCGCGCGACACGTATCTCACGGCCTCTGTGCGGTTGTGCCGCTTCCATGCAGGCGTCCACCAAACACCCGGCCGCACGACGCTCGACACACAGAGAGACACACAATGAGCTTGTTGTCAGAACTGCTGAGCATTAGTTTACAGGACGTGGTGCAATGATAGTAATTATATTCATTAATAAAAATCCATAATAATAATAGTAATAATAATAATAATGTTAATATTCATTAATAATAATAATGATTAAAAAATAATAATATTCATTAATAAAAATATAATAATAATAGTAATAATAATAATAATAATAATTAATGATAATAATAATATTCATTAATAAAAATAAAAATAATATTTAAAAAATAATAATTACAATAATAATATCATAATAAAAATAATAATTATTATATTCATTAATAATAATAATAATAATAATAATAATAATAATAATAATAAAAATAATAATAATAAAAATAATAATAATAATATTCATTATTAATAATAATAATGATAAAAATAACAGTAATAATAATAATAAAAATAATAATAATAATAATATTAATTAATAATAATAATTAAAATAATTAAAATAATGATATTCGTTAATAGAAAAAAAAATAATATTCATTAATAAAAAATATAATAATAATAATAATAATAATAATAATAATAATAATAATAATCATTAATAAAAATAATAATAGAAATAATAATAATAATAATTTATAATAATAATAATAATATTCATTAATAAAAATAAAAATAATAATAATAAAAATAATAATAACGATTTAAAAAAATAATTATATTCATTAATAAAAAAATAATTAATGATAATAATTATATTCAATAATAAAAAAAATAAAATAATAATATTAATAATAACAATTATTATATTAATTAATAAAAATAATAATAATACAAATAATAATAATAATAATAATAGTAATTATTATTATTATATTCAATAATAATAAAAAATAATTTTAAAAAAAGAAATAATAATTATATTTAAAAAAATAATACTTATATTCAATAATAAAAATAATGATACTAATATTTAATAATAGTATTAATATAATAATAATAATAATGATATTTAATAATAATAATAATAATAATAATAATTTTTAATAATAATTAAATAGCATTTGTATAGCGCATATCCCCGCTCAACAGCAGGCTCTATGCGCTTTACACTATATTATTACCCCAGCAGACCATAGAACACTCCGAAACATTCTCAGCTTCCCGGGAAGCATACAGTGCAAGCAGCCGATTAAGCGCTCAAACACTAACAAACTGACAATATCTTTCGCTGTCTATAGCCGGGTACCCATTCCCACCTGGGTGAAGTGAGGAATATTCGTGGAAAAGAATTTTTGTGCCTTTAATCAACATTTTTCAGAAAAATCCACCACACAAAAGTGAGTTTTTTAATGGTCGTGAAAGGTGTTGAGCCAAAAAACACAAATTTGATAAAAATTCTCAAACCTACGGAAAAATGCAAGTTTCTTCACTTTTATTATTTTGACGAGAGCCTGATTCCACCACGCTGCCTCACCTCTATCGCTTGAGGTGTTCCCCTTATACACACACACTCAAGTCAAACACACCCCTCCCCCCCCCTCACCTCTAGCGTGACCGGAGGTTTCTTCGTCTTGGACAGTTTCTCCAGCTCTGACCAGTCACCGACCTCAGCCAGGGCGCTGATTTTGAGCATCCAGAACCTGGGGACATACACATGGGAGGGGGTGGTAGGGTGGGGGGTGGGAAGTTGAGGTGGTAGGGGTGGGAAGGAGGTGAGGTGGGGGGATGGAGTGATGGGGGTGTGTGGTAAGGTGGGGGAGGTTGGGGAGGGGGGGCGGAATAAGATGGAGGAAGTGGTAAATGGGATTTTTTTTTGGGGGGG